AGGTAAAAATAGGAATTTTGTGACTGGCACTATCTTTTCTTTAAAGAGGCCTATATAAATTTTAAGCTCTATAAAATCAAGACACCAATGCAGTTTTATCTCCCTCACTCTTCCTGGCATAGTACTGAGTGGTTAGTAAGTGCTCAGTGGATATTTTTTATTATGTCTATGTAATAAAAGGCAAAATATTACAGAGAGAAAAAAAAGGCATAGATGATAGAGGTTTTGTTCATCCCTCTTGCGACCAAATCAAAGTTCTGAGAGAATCTTAGAACAAAAAGCAAGGAAAATTGCCTGGGATCTAGATGAACAAGCCCTACAAGTAGGGAGAGAAATAAGAAATCACCCTGCAACGAGAGAAGGTAGGATGAGGCGAGGACACAATGCCGCACGGTCCTGAGCGGCTGAGTGGGACAAAGGCCATAACAGCAGCAGCTGCAGACGCCTTTTAAAGGGGCCGTGTCCACAAGCGAACTTTTGCAGTGATGATGGACCTGCTCACTCTGAGCACCAGCACCAGTTCAGCTGCGCAGAGGGCACCAAGGACTTACAGGAGGACACTGAGTTGTCAGAATGAGGGCCAGGGTCTAGGGTCTCTCCCAGACAGAAGTGCTGGCAGTATCCATTGTTCCTCTCTTGAGCCTTCCCCACTCCCAGTGTGCAGATGCAGCACCGCCATAGCTGAGACATCATCAGACTGGATGACAGAGGTCACTCCACCCAGAGGATTTCCTGAAACAACACCTCCTGCAACTCATGGCCCCACCCAAGCCACATCCAGATGTAACCTCAGAGAGTCAGGTGCTCCTTACTGAGCAGAGCCAAGACTCACACTAGTGGCAGCTGGCCTGTTTCTGGTGTGGCCTCTTGAGGCAACTATAAGCACAGCATCTGTGGATCGCTTGCTGAATGTTAACAGAGGGGCACAGGCTGGGGCTAACCTTGGCCTGCAGCTGAACCCCTCTCAGGACCGTGCCACTGGACACCTACTACACAAAGCTGCACTAATAAGACTGAGAAACTTAGGAGATTTGCTTAGTACATAAAAACAGACACAGAAAGGCAGCCAAAATGGGAAGACAAAGAAGCAGAAACCATGAGAGAGAACAGAACAGAGACCCAGGAATAATGGAGTCAATCTAGCAGACGCAGAGTTCAAAACACTGGTTATAAAGGTGCTCACTGAGCTTAGGGGAAGTATAGATGAATTCAGTGAGAACTTTAACAAAGAGATAAAAAACATAAAAATAGAAATGGAAATCATAAAAGGGAATGAGTCAAAAATGAAGAACACATTTGAAATGAAGAGTATATTAGATGGAAAAAACACAATGGATAAAGAAGAAGATTTAATAATTTAAGGAGCCTATGGGACACTATAAAATGTAAAAAAATTCATGTCATAGGACTATCTGAAGGAAAACAAGACATTGAAGAACTATTTGAAGAAATAATGATGGAAAACTTCCCTCACATGGTGAAAGAAATGGACATACAACCCCAGGAAGCTCAGAGAGTCCCAATAAAGAGGAACCCAAAGAGGCCCACACCAAGACATATTATCATTAAAATGCCAAAGGTTAAAAACAAAGAATCTTAAAAGCATCAAGAGAAAAGCAGTTAGTTACCTACAAGGGAACGCCCATAAGACTGGCAGCTGATTTCTCAAAAGAAACCATGCAGGACAGAAGGGCTTGGCACAAAATATTCAACGTGATGAAGACCCAGGATCTACAACCAAGAATACTTTATCCAACAAAGCTATTATTTAGAGTTGAAAGACAGCTTCCCAGACAAAAATAAGCTGAAGGAATTTATCAACACCAAGCCAGTATTACAGGAAATGTTGGAGGGACTTCTTTAAAAAGAAAAAACATGTATCAAAACAGGAATAAAAATGGTAATAACTACATTCCTATCAATAAGTACCTCAAATGGAAAAGAGTTAAGTGTTCCAACCAAAAGATTGAGTAGCTGAATGGATAAGAAAACAATACCCTTACATATGCTGCCTACAGGAGACTCACTTCAGATTAAAAGACACACACACACAGAAGGGAATGGAGACTAAACAGAAGGGAATGGAGAAAGATATTGCTTTGATGGACCTAGAGGGTATTACGCTGAATGAAATGAGAAGGATAGAGAAAGACAAATATCGCATGATTTCACGTACATGTGGAATCTAAAAAACAAACAACAAAAGCAGTAATAAATTCATAGATACAAAGGATATTTTGAGGGCTACTAGATAAGAGAGGGTTCGGAGAGTGGGAATAAAAGGCAAAGGGATTAAGAGGTACAATAATTCCCCATTTCTTCCTCCCCCCAAGACCTTGGCAACCACCATTCTACTTTCTCTACATATAACTTTAACTGCTCTGGGTACCTCACATACATGGGATCATACAGTACTTGTCCTTTTGTAACTGGCTTATTTCACATTGACACAATGTCTTCAGGGTTCATTGTTGTTACATGGTATGTGTCAAAATTTCCTTTTTAAAGGCTGAGTAATATTTCATTATATGTATATACCACATTTTGTTTAGCCATTCATCCACCGATGGAAACTTGTGTTGTTTCCATCTTTGCATGTCTTGTGATAGAAAGAGAAGACGGTATTAGTGTATCCATCCACAAGCAGGTGATACTGTAGAACTTGTACTTCTGGTCCAGTGGGATTCTCCTCTCTAAGGTTGATTCTAGCCTAGTGTTTACGTTAGATAGCATGCTATAACATTCATATAAGGAACGAGTCCTGCTTCTGGTTGCTCTAAGTCAAGGCCTAGAGAAAGACTTCAAGTTAGGGAAAAATTATTTAATATGGGCCTTCCATTTCACTGCCAAATATTATAGAACAGGGTACATAGTAGATATTCCATAAATGTTTGAATGAATGCTTAAATACAGATGTACCATTGTTCATAATTGTCAAAAACTAGAAGCAGCCCAAATAGAATAGATAAATAAATTGTGGAATATTCATACAATGGAATACTTAGAGCAATAAAAATAAATGAACTGCAGATATACACAAAAATATAGACATCTTAAAGGGAGAAGCTATATAAAATACAGTCATGTGCCACTTAATAGCAGAGATGCATTCTGAGAAATGCATAGTTAGGCGATTCATCATTGTGCCAACTATAGAGTGTGTACTTACACAAACATAGCCTACTATACACAACTAGGCTATATGGTATAGCCTATTGCTTTTGGCCTACAAACCTGTACAGCATGATATGTACTGAATACTGTAAGAAATTGTAACACAATGGTATTTGTGTATCAAAATTTATCAAAACATAGAAACACCTAATTGTATGTGCTATACTTTTATAAGACTGGCTACAGGCAGTGCAGTAGGTTTGTTTACACCAGTATCACCACAAACACATGAGTAATGTATTACACTATGATGTTACCACAGCTACCACATCACTAGGCAATAAGAATTTTTCAACTCAGTTGTAATCTTATGTGATCACTCTCATGTACACTCTCACATTCAGTCTGCCATTGACTGAAACATCGTTATTCAGTGCATGACTGTGAATGCATACTTCATGATTCCATTTATAAAGTTCACAAACAGACATAATTAAACTCTTGTTTCTGTTTAAAGATGCATAAATAGATAGTAGTGCTATCTTTTTTTTAAACAAGGAAATGAATCTCCTAAAAATAAGTGATTACCACTGGGAGGAGATGCCTGTGGTTGGGAAAGGGCCCTATTGGGAGGAAGGAGGGGGATTTCTAGGATGCTGATAATGGTTTCTTGACTTGAATGAAGGTTTTATGGGTATTCATTTTACAACAGTTAAGTTGTACATTTATGTTTTCTCTGCCTGTCTATATGGTCATCATATTCCACAATAAAAAGTTTAAGTTCTTTGATTCTTGGGGCGGAGGGGGAGGAACTATAAAAGATCATGTGATGTAATTATATATACAGTATTTTAGCTCTTAGTGTGATTGATAAAATGAGAAAGATACCATTGACACACTCGGAGAGTACCAGGAAAGTGCTATAGATTGTCTATATTAAGTTTCTTTATTATTGAGTTCTAGTTATGAATTCCTGGGCTCTGTAGTTTGGGGAAATGGAAATCAGAAGAGGAACAGCATTAAGTAGAAGCCAGTCAACATCTACAATCCATTAAAGACCTGATTTTTCATTAAAAGGCATTAACCTCTGTGTCTCTTCAGTGTTATTTACTTATAAATTGAATTCATTTCCATCACAGCATGATGGATGTGAAGTAGGAAATAGGCAAATAGGACAAATCTTCCTCCCTATAAGGGAAGTCCGCATAGCCCCTATTTATGTAGCTACTCTCTTGAGCCATCATAGACAGTAGAATTCGACGAGATTAGCAAACTTGGCCATCTTTTGAAAAGAACTTCATTCACAGAATTCATCAGATTAAAGTTAAGGGGCAAATTGCTTCTTTAGTAACTTTTAAATTGAGATAATGAACAGCTTCCCAAGTGCTTGTGTTCTGCTAAATTCTGAGACTGTTCTGGTGTGTATTACTGACTTTGGTGATTCTTTAATTAGCTTAAGCCTCAAAAGCTTAGTTGGCTTTTGAGTTATCATTTAAATGGAAGTCCTGACTCTGGTCTCACCTGTTAAGATGTGTAACAGATCAAGCAGCTTTAGCTCATTTAGGAAGTGTCATAACAGATACTGCAACTAATTGGAGGGCACAGAAATATTTTCATTAAAGATATCCAGCCACCACTGTAAACAACTTCATGTCAGATTTTACATGTGAGAGTAAAGCAATTAGCCAGCTTGACTTTCTCAGGGTAAAATTCTAGAGTTTTGTTCCCCTATTTTATACAAATTTGAAAATCTTTAATTTATTCGGTCTCTGTTCCAAACACAGCATAAATTTCTGATTGATAGGCATGAATAACAGCCTAGTTTTCTGCATTTTATGTGGCTTTTTGTTACAGGTTTCTGCCTTACTTTGTCTCCCTTCTTTCAGGGTCTGACATTTCAGGAAGTGGAGAACTTCTTTACTTTCCTGAAGAATATTAATGATGTGGACACTGCATTGAGCTTTTACCATATGGCTGGGGCATCTCTTGATAAAGGTAATGAAAATGAAACCCAAAAGTTTTTCTTGACAGTATAAATATTGAATCTATAATCTATTAGGTGACTGTCCCTCCTTAAATGTAATATATGAGTTTGTCTTGACATTGTTCTTTATTTGTTTTGTTTTGTTTTGTTTTATTCTGTTGATGTTGCATGAGCCTTGCATGAGCCTCGAGAGGCCAAACTCAGCAAATATATTTTCTTGTGCTAAAGGCTACAGTCAAGGCAGATGCCCATCTTGAAATGATTAGCCTTGGAGATAGACATCTAAGCCCAGGCAAAGTGCATGAAACTTTGGAACTTCTCTCATTGGAGCCGAAGTCATTATGTATATTATGTGAGGCTTAAGTCACTATGCATTTTAATTCATTCTTTGGTGAGAAGAAATGACTTGGTTTATTTCTTGTATTAAATTTTTTTTTTTTAAGATAAAATTATGACTCTGAGAATAGCATTCCCTGTTGGCTTGCTTTATACAGATTCTGTTCCAGTTTGTACAGGCAATGTGAGAGAACAGAGGAATTGAAAACACAATTTTCCCACATCATTTTATTAGAACAGTCGAAATAATCATTCAAAGAACATCCATATATCCGGCTCAATTAACATTTCACTGTAGTTCCCTGATAGTATATCTATGCATATATTCATGCCTCTATCACTCTATCATTTTTGTTGCATTCAAAGTAAGTTACAGACATAAATGCACTTCACTCCTAAATACTTCACCGTGAATACTAACTGAAGTTCAATTTTGTTTAAAGTTCCCTTGTGCTCCTTCACAGTCAATTTCTGCCCCTACTCACCAAGAGGCAACCTTAATTCTGTGTATTTTTCCACTATAGTTTAATTTTGCTTGTTCTGGAACTTACACTAAAAATGGAACTATACAGTGTACACTCTTTATAACATTTCTCTCAGCATGTTTTTGAGATCCGTTCATGTTGCACATACAGTTGTTTGTTCCTTTTTTATGAATAGTAATCCATTGTATGAATACTCTACAATTTGTTTATCCATTCTCCATTGGATACATTAACTGTTTCTAGTTATTGGCTAGCTCAGATAAAGCTATGACCATTCTTGTGTTAGTCTTTTTGAGGACATGTATTTTCATTTCTCTTGGATAAATACCTAGAGTGAATTGCTGGGTCTAGCGGAATGTGAGTATTTCTTTATAAAAAACCATCAGACCCTTTTTCACAGTGTATCTTTTTTACTCTCACCAGTAATGTACAACAGTTCAAGTTGTTTCTCATTCTTGTTGGAAGTTGGTGGTATCATTGTTTTTTAATTAGTGATTCTGGAGTATTTATAAAGGTGTCTCATGTTTTTAATTTGTCTTTTCCTGGTGGCTTCTGCTGTTGAGCAGCTTTTTGTGTTCTTATTCATATATCTTCTTTGGTGAAGTGTTAGTTCAAATCTTTCACCCATTTTTATTAGGTTGCTTGTCTTATTGAATTGTAGAAGATCTTGAGATATTCTAGATACAAGTCCTATTATCAGATACATATCTTATGAATATTTTTTTAGTCTGTGGCTTACTTTCTTAATGGTGTCTTTTGATTAGCAGTTTTTTATTTGGATAAAAATGTCTAATTTATCAAATTTTTATTTTTTAGTTATTACTTTCTGGTTCTAATAAACCAAACTATGAGGATATTCTCCTATATTTTCCCCTAAAAGCTTTAGTGTTTTAGCTCTTATATTTCATATGTGATTCACCTCAAATTAATTTCTATATATGGTATAAAATAGAGGTCAAGATTTTTTTTTTACATCCAGTTGTACCAGCACCATTTGGTGAAAAGGCCCTCCTTTAGTTTACTTTGGCACCTTATCAAAAATCAGATGACCTTTTAAGTGTAGATCTATTTCTGAGCTCTCTATTCTGTTACATTGATGTATATATCTATTTTGATGCCCATACTCACTGTCTTGATTACTGTAGCTTGTCTTGATTACTGTAGAAAGTCATGAATTAGGAGGTTTTATAAATCCTTCCAACTTGATTCTTCTTTTTCTAGATTGCTTTACATATTTTAGATCCTTTGTATTTCCGTATAAATTTTAGAATCAGCTTGTCACTTTTTATGTAAAAAAGAGATAGGATTGTGATTACAATAACATTTAAAATGCAAATTAATTTGGGGAGTTGACATCTTAGTGATAATGATTCTTCTAATTCATGAGCATATTTTCTCTCTCCACTTTTTTAGATCTTTGATTTCTATCAGCAGTAGCTTTATAGTTTTCTATGTATACAGGTCTTGTACAAATTTTTTTTAATTTACGCCTAATATTTTATGTTTTTTGATGCTACTATAAATGGAATTTTAATTCTATTTTCCAGTTTTTGCTGCTGCTATTAAAATACAATTGATTTTGTATATTTGTCTTATATTCTGCTGCCTGCTAAATTTGTTATCCTAGTTGTTTTGTAGATTCCTTGGGTTTTCTGTGTAAGTAATCATGTCATCTATGAAAAGAGATAGTTTCACCTCTTCTTTTTTGGTATTTATGCTTTTTTCTTTGCCTTATTGCACTTGCTCTAACAACCAGTACAATGTTGAGTACAAGTGAGAGTGGCTGTCCTTGGCTTCTTCCCGATTTTAGGTGGAAAGCATTCAATATTTCAGCATTAAGTTGGATATTAGATTAGACCATAGATGCTCATTATCAGATTAAGGAAATTTCTTTCTCTTCCAAATTTAAAAAAGGTTTTTAACATCAATGGCTGTTAAATTTTATCAAATATTTTTTTCTATATAAATAATGATTATCTAGCTCTTCTCCTTTATTTTCTTAATATGGTAGATTACACTGATTATCCCTTATTGTCCTGAATGAAACCCAGCTTTGTAATGATGTATTAGGCTTTTTATATATTGCTAGATTTGACTTGCTAACATTTTGTTAAATATTGAAGGATATTGGTCTATAATTTTCTCTTTTGTAATATCTTCAGTTTTGTATCAGAGTATACTGTCCTCATAAACTGAATTGGGGAGTTTTTTCTTCTTTATTTTCAGAATTTTATATAAGATTGCTGTTCTTTCTTTCAGAATTGTTGATAGGGATCACTAGCGAAACTGCCTGGGCCAGCAACTTTTTTTTTTGGAAGTTTTAATTATTTAATTTCTTTAGTAAATATATAGATATTCAGAAAAGTATTTGTTAAGGAATTTGCCCATTTCATCTAAGTTATTGCATTTATTGATATGAAGTTGTTCATAATATTCCATTATTATCCTTTTGATGTCCGTAGAATCTGTAGAATCTGAAATTCCCTCTCTTACTACTAACAGTGGTGAATTATCTCTTCTCTTTATTTTTCTTTTTTTCTTATTTCATTTACCTAAGGGTTTAGCAATTTTGTTAAACTTTTCGAAGAACGAATTTTTGACTTTGTCAATTTTCTTTTTTTTTCTATTGCATTGATCTCTGCTCAGATCTTTATTTCCTCACACTTACTTATTTTCAGTACATATTACTTTGTTTTTCTTTTCCTAGCTTCTTAAAATAGAAATTTACCTATTCTACGATAAACTTTTGAAACTCTCAATCTCACTCTAAATACTCTACGTCCCACAAATTTTGATACGTTGTATTTTCATCATTATTCTGTTTGAAATATTTTCTGATTTTTCTTGTGATTTCTTTGTATTTAAAAAGTATGTTGTTTAATTTCCAATTACTTTGCTTTTTTTTAGATATATTGTTTTTTATTTCTAGTTTAATTCAATTGTAGTCAGAGAACACACTCTGTAAAATTTCACTTCTTTAAAATTGGTTAGCATCTGTTTTGTGGCCTACCATATGGTCAGTTTGCTTGATTGTTTTGTATTTTATTATGCTGACATTGGATAACAAAATCCAGTAAGTTTCAGGTGTACAATTTAACAGTAAGGTATGTATATATTTTGCATTGTGTGTTCACTGCCCACAGATTTCTTTTTGTCACCACATACTTGACCCTTTTTACTCCATCTATATCTCTTTAAGAAGAAAAGAAACCATATCATCATTTGGACAGTTCTCACACATTTCTTGGGCTCGATGGAAGGCCAGTCTATTTCAATGTAGCTCTGGTAAACATTGGAGGAGGAGAAAGAGGAAGAAGCAGCAGATCGTCTATTTATTATTTTGGAATAATTGCGCAGGCTGAGCACTGTTCAAAGGGTTTTACATCTGTTAACTTAGTCATACTATTGAGCCTAAGATATAGCATTAATATCATCTTCCTTTTCCATATGAAGAAAGTTGAGCATAGAGAGGAAATATAGGCAAGCAGTCAGATTCCAGAGCTTGTACAGTTAGTCACTAAGCTACAATAATTCTATTACATATTCCCGGAACACATTCTTTATATCTTGTCCTATTGATTATAGCCATTCTAACAGGTGTGAGATGGTATCTCATCATGGTTTTGATTTGCATTTCCCTAATAGCTAGTGATGTTGAGCATGTTTTCATATGTTTGTTGTATGTCTTCTTGAGAGACATGTCTGTTCAGGTCCTCTGCTCATTTTTTAATTGGATTGTGGTCAGTTTTTTTGATAAAAGTTTCATATACATTTGAAAATAATGTGTATTCTCTACTTTTGAGTAGAGTATTGTAAAAACGTCAGTTCCAGGTGGTTGATAGTGTTCAGATCTTTTATGTCCTTACTGACTTTTTTGTCTAGTTAGTGAGAGAGGGACATTAAAATCTCCACGTCCGATGTGTGGATTTGTCTATTTTTCCCTTTAAGTGATGTTAGTCTTTGCTTCATGAATTTTGAGCTCTGTGATATTAAGTGCATACACACTTAATGATTATGATTATTATGCTCACCTGATGAATTAGCCCTTTTATCCTTGAGAAGTGTTCCCCTTTTATCTTTAGTAATACACCTTCTCTTGAAATCTATTTCGTCTGATATCGATATAATTACTCCAACTTTTTTTGTGGTTATTGTTTGCATGGTACGTCTTTTTCTGTTGTTTTATGTTC